AGGTTGGAGGCCATTGCTTCTAGGTTGGAGGCCATTGCTTCTAGGTTGGAGGCCATCGCTTCTAGGTTGGAGGCCATTGCTTGTAGGTTGGAGGCCATTGCTTGTAGGTTGGCGGCCATCGCTTCTAGGTCAGAGGCCATTGCTTGTAGGTTGGAGGCCATCGCTTCTAGGTTGGAGGCCATCGCTTCTAGGTTGGAGGCCATTGCTTCTAGGTTGGAGGCCATTGCAGTTAGTTTTTTTTGGAATGAAGTTTCAACAGCAGCAGGACCGGTCTGCGGGGCATTTGCTGAATGGTGTGATGCACGACATGAGCGTCACTGGGCCCGGTTCGAGCCGTGTGACGGCACGGCGTCCGTTGGGGGTGGACTCGGAGGAGGGACTTCAAGCAGAACACCCTGGGAACGACCAGTTCGACCATAAAAACAGATGGGAAGGACCTGGTTCTGTAGTGTCAGATTCCTTAGTAAAGCTCAGGGTTGTTGGGTTAAACAAACAACATTAATGGTTGTTGGAATCCATCCGGTAGATGCCCTAGAAGTCCAGTTCGACGATTTTTGGACACAACGAAGGAAAGGACGTTCCGAGCATTGCGGGTCATTTGGTGCATTTTTTGAGAGAGAGAGAGAGAAATGATGCGATCCCAAAAGTCCAAAACACTCACAATTTCTCTCACCACCCGAGGTTCCTGGGTGGAGGGTGGAGACTTGTCCGTTTTTGATTGTCTCATTTCCATGGCCGGAAGGTCCCCTCCCCTCCGTTCCGGGATCGATCCGGGCTCGATCCGGTGGGTCCACGAAGTCAGCTTGCTGGTCGATTTCGAGCGCTTGAGCCGTTGTGGATGACGGGAATGCACACAACAAAGGGACTAAAGGGTTCGTGGTTCGTGATTGGTGGCCGCCCGAAGAGCAGTTCAGCTCAAGCTTTGAGCCCAACATACTGTAATTCGTTCTCAAACACTGCATGTATGCCATATTTGCCTACGTACATCGAGGTGGTTTCAGGGGTCAATGTAGGCATATATCATACATGGAGTGTCTGGGTTTAGGCAAAACATGTTTCTTCAACAAACCGCAAACAGGGCAAGTTGAGGATCGGGAGATCTTCCCATGACAGTCTATCCTGCAACGCCTGAGTTCATGCCTTGACAGACCCCTTCTGTTTCCTTGTGGGGGCCGGGGAATTCTAAGAAGTGCCAAAACCGTGAGTCAGGTTTTTGGCTCCGCTGGTTTGGCTGAGGCTTTGCACTCAAAGGCTTCTCTGTCTCCACAAGTTTTCAACCACCGTCTTCGTGGCATTACCGGTTTTGCTCTCTGCTAGGCGGTGATTGACCGTGCCCAGCGGGAGCTGCAGTCCAACAGGGAGGGCCAAGGCATTGTGTCGGTGGAGGCGGTGGCGGAGCATGCCATTCGGGTGCCTTGGCAAGGAGGTTTTGGCGAAAAATGGGAAGGGTTGGCGGTTTGGATCAAGAAACATTTGGCACCTCCTGGTTCTTCAAAGTGACTGAACTTGATATCCTGGTTTCTTCGGTTTTGTAGTCGCTAGCTGTAAAAGGTCACTTAGATGGGACTCCAAAACGGTCAGGTACTTGAAGAGTCGCTGGCAGTTGACGCATGTTGATACGGACATTTCAGGGTGCAGAAGGGCGGCTGAAGGAGTTGAGGTCCCATCTGATTGGACCTCGGATGTTGCAAGGCTTCAGATAGGTTCAACGAAACGGTCCAAGCTTGTAGCTTGGTGGTGCTGTTTTCCTTCACCTGGTCGAAGAAATGGATAGATCACAACAAGAATATGTACCACTCCCTCCAATGGAGCAGGGCGTGCAGTGCACGCTGGAGTAGGTGAGTTTGATGGTCAGAGGCATGACTCGAGCATCATGTCCACCTGGGATTCTTCCGAGATCGACCCACTCTGACATTCTCTTTTGGACCTGCGGATGTAGCTTCTTGATATCACCCAACCCCTGGACCGCTGCGACGATCCGAACGCACTCCACGCGACGAGCCGTCCTGACTGCCCAAACGAAAAAGCACGAAACGACCAACCACCCAACGGCCGCTCCCCCAGAAGTTCTGCACTAGAAGTCTAGTTCTGCTCTATATACATTTCAAGACCTTTAAAATGATGGTTGACCTGGCCTCAGTCAAACCATGGTTGTTTGGTCAAAACCCAATAACATCTTTCTGGTGTTTGGAAGAACCCAGGGTTTACGTCCTTTGCCCAAGTTTTGGCCAGTTTCCGGACTCGCATCTCCTGGTCCCTTGAAATAGTCGTCAGATGGTTCTAGGCATGCAGACAGATGGGCTGGTGGTAGTGCTGGATGTCATGTCCTTTGAAGCTACATTGCTAGTGATACAGTAGTTGTTGGCCCCGGGCCATGCCAAGAACGATGCCCTACATCCATGAAACCAACCGGTCTTTTTCTTAGTGGACACAGCTTGGCCGACGAAGGAAACATGTCCAAACATTCCCCTGCAGTTCCAACCATTGGTTTTAATGGGATTTTACCCCAAAAACACTGGTTTACTAAGGAACTTACATTACAACCCGGTTGTTCAATGGTCTTTGAAGGCCACACTGTCGACAACAGCCTTGGTGGTTTTCTTTCAAAGGTCAACCCCGTCAACCCCGTCAACCCGTCAATCGCACTGAGATGAAACCTCCCACTCAGTCCGTCTTTTCTGGACTACAGCAGCAATCCGTTCCGGAACACCTGCTTCTTTTTGGGATGGGTGGTGTTCTTCTTTTTTTTTGGTGCAGTCATGTCCCACCTGTTTGGCCGTTGGCCGACCGCACGCGCCATGATGGCCGGACCCACGACCCACTGGGCAGCGCGGCGTCCAACGCCCTGAGGCGAACGTCTTCCACACCATGGAGCATCTCTTGCGCCACAGCGAGCGGCTGACCGAACTGCTCCGTCCCTCCGAAGCCCAAGGGCTCGGGGTCCAGCCCATTCGGGAAAGGCGGAGGTCGGACGAAGGTCGGAGAAGGTTCGGAGGTTGGCCTTGGCCTGCGGGGAGAGTCCGGTTTGGACAGAAGGACATTCCTTTTTTTTCACAGAGGTGTCCAACCCGAAGTTGGGATCCAAGCTTGGACACCTGTGGAAATTGGTTGGGATTTGAGGTAGGAGCTGGTGTGGAGATGCGCCACGCAGAAAAAACATGCTGCAGTACTAGGGCTCTGGATGGATCTGGATAGACATGCAGGATTTGAGTCCAAGAGTGGGTAGCCCAGTTGAGGACACTCATGACCAGTGGCGATCTGTGATGAGCCCAGGAGGAAGAATCATGGAATCTCATGCCTTCAGTCTACCCTGGGAAGGATTTAGACCAGAACCCACAGGTTGCCTTCAAATCCTTCCAGATCCTTTGCCTTCTGAGTTTTTCAGACGAACAGAAACTGCAGACGAACAGAAGCAAGTGACTCAGTAAGTGCGAGCCAGGAAATCCCATGCGCAAGATCAGCAGATCTGATGACAGACGCTCCCTGGGATTCCACCGACCATGATCTTTAATAGTTATTTTACCAAACAACCGTGGTCTTACAAATTGAATTGACGCGACAAAAACCAGGTGAACCAACTTTTAGTCTTGGAAGGCCAGGGTGTCGCTCTCGTGTTTTCGATTTATTAAAATTTTTTGAACACTTGGCCCACGGCCGCGTGGGCCCAAAACTCCTGGCTGGTACCACTTAACTCGGCCACACTCCAAAACCCTTACGAGTTCCTTCACAAATGGGTTGATTGACCCTTATGTTCCTTCACAGATGTTACTGTATATATTATACAGGGCCCCCCTAACGGATGGTGAATGGACACCCTTGAACCGATCTTTTTCGATGGGTTTGCCGAGCACACTCGGTGATTGGCGCCAAGGTCAGGGAGAGTTGGAGGTGCAAGGTGGCATCTTTGACAAGGTGGGCCGGTCCTGGTGAGGACCACGTTGGGTCCGAACCGTGGGGTCGAGTTCGAGTAGATTCATGAAGGGCACTGAATTCAAAGGAAATTCCCTTCGACTCAGGTCATCTCAGGACTTGCAGGGTCCTCAAGACGGGCCTTGAGATTAGGTCTTTCAATGGCGCAGCCCTGACTGTGTGATTTCGGTGACCACCTGGAAATATGACAGTGACCCACGCTCCAAGCAGCCCTTGGTCCCTCAAAACCTAGGGACTGGTTCGGGTCTGGACCCCGGTCCGGCCCCCTACTCGGGAGGTTTCATGAGCCTCTGGCCCAGAAGGGAATGTGTTTTCCAACATGGCCATGGCCATCGCTCCTTTTGTGCAGCTAGCGGCGTTCAAAACGCGGTCAGCATCCAGGTTGTTGCTGACCTGGATGGACACCCCAGCCATCCAGTGACGTCCCAGACCTCTGTGTTGCCCGGGGTCGACGAGTCCCTCCTTGGGGTCGAAGAGTCCGCCATCGAAGGACTTCAGGCCCTGAGGTCCCCAACGAAGCTCATTCCGAAGATCAAGACGCACCAGTCACAAGAAGCTACGCATGGTAGACGGTAGGCCATGAAACAATCAGCTTGGAGGCCAGAAGCTATTCATTCGCTTGGAGGTACCAAGTCAAAGGAGGATCGGTTCCAAGGCCCACCGGTACCATCGGACCATCCGACCATCCCTCGGGACCGAAGGGCGTCTCGCCCGAACGGGCGGAACACGCGGAACACGTCGAGGGGGGGAACGGACCAGGAGAGTGGCTGCGTGGAGTTCTTAGGGCATTTGCCTCGCCTGAACCAGCCACTTGGCGAAGCTGAAGGGAGGGATCAAGCGGGTGTTTTCTTGGGGTGTAGGCCTTTTTTTGCGCCGTGCGTCCGCTGCGCCGTGCGTCCGCTGCGCGTGAGTCGTGTTCTTTTTGGTCAAAGGGTTGGGCCCAGACACCCAGAAACCGGCCCCATTTCACTTGAAGCAAGGGGCGGATGGTGGGCTGGGGCGAAACCAGCCCGACAGGAAGGTGCTACATGTTTCATCTGTCCATTTCATCCCGCCTTCGGAGTCCCTGAGTTCCAATGAGAGAGAGGAGGAGGCAGACTGAGCGGTCCTGGAGGACTGGAGAGCTGGCAGACTGCTGACGGTCAGATGGTCAGGTGGTGAATTTCATCGAACTGGTCACCTTGCGAACAAACTGAGACTTGCATTCAACCTCTCCGCCAATGTCGACTGCTGCTGAATAAAACTACTGCTGTAGATGTTTTACCATCCATGTAGGGGTTTTATGAATCAACAGTCAACAAAAACATTCACAGACGTGTAAGACATATTTCTTAAAGCTGTTTCATTGATGGCAGTCGTTGTGATGGAACCCACACCGCAGTTCCTGGAACCTCAAGCACCTTTTGCTTTGGTATACCAAGAAATCCGCCTCAGATGCAACATATCACACAGTTTGCTGTAAGCATATTCATGTAACTTCTCCAATCGTTTTGCTGGAGGACTCTTCCTTGCAAGATGCTGAAGTAGTTTGTCATCTATGTCGCAAATTGTAGACCTAGAGGTGTACGGTATGCGGGAAATACACAGTGAGTGATAAATCATATGGAACAACCATGGCTGCCATCCCCACTTCTCCATCCACTTCCTTGCGGACGCATTTGCAGCCCCACCGAGGCTGCTGGTGTCGCTGGACACCTCCAAACGAAAGAACCAGCGCGAGCGCTCGAAGCAAACGGCCTCCAGCTGCGTCTCCGCCCAGGCGGTCCACTGGGGCGGTGGGTTTGGACTCACCAAGAGAGGTGATTTTGTAAGCTGAACGCACCGGTCACGAGGACTCCACCCGTGACGTGATGTATGGTCTCTTTTTTGGGTCCAGGTTTTTGGGGTTCTCTGTTCGGGAAAGGGATATGTTGAACCATGTTCGCCCCTGACCGAATTATCTAACCACCTTCTAGGGATATGGTTGGAGCCTTATAGGGACCAGTCAGATCATTTGTTTGGTCTTTGACCCTCAGTCAGGGTTGGTGGAATCTTTTTGGGTGATGGGTTTCCGTAGATTTCGCTCTGAATTGGATTGATCGTAAGGTTTCAGATCAGAACCCGAGGAGGGGCACCTAGAAAGGCCCTGGAAAGGCCAGATGCCCAAACAATGGTGATGGGTTCCCCCAGCAAGCGGGGCTCGTTTGGTTCGTCCCGTGAGGGTGGAGGTGAGGTGGGCACCGGCACTGGCACGTGGAACGTCGCTCGTGGAACGTCGCTCGTGGAACGTCGCTCGAACGTTGAGGTTCGCGGATCCCGTCACAGCGCCAGGATGCTTTAAAGCTGCTCAGAGAGGGGAACAATCGCTGGGTGAGCAGCACAGCAGTGGCCAGCAGGACAGCTGTGGTAGTCATGAAACGCTTCTCTACACAGGCTGGAGAAGAAGCTCCGTTTTTGGGAAGGTCCCCCGGAGCCGGCGCCCCCTCTTTTCTTCACAGCACGCACTGGCGCCCCATCCGTCGCCCTTCTCTACCGGTGCCACCGGAAGATTCGCACTTCTCGTGCGGCTCCTTTCCCTACAGGTCCAGTCTGGCCCAGGTCCAGTCTCCTGGTCCAGTCTCCTCATACTGTCTTTGTATGGTCCAGGATTCTTTTTTCAGGGTTTTTGTATGGTCCAGTAAAATCAGGTCTTTGGCCTTTAGACGACATTTTGTAGTGTGACTCCGACAAGCGTCTTTGACCTGGTCTTTGACCCTTCTATGGATAGTTTCAATCTATGGATTCAACTACAGAAGGCAATTCCCTCCACAAAAACAGCACCCAACGGCAGCTCTCCACGCAATCCCTCCATTGGCTGTGCAGGATCCCTAAGACCTTGGCCAGCGACGACGGCCGCGCGCCCTTCTGCGCGATCATCGGCTGCGCCGACCTGCGGACACCGGTGGAACAGCTCTTCGACACGCTGCCCGGGGAGATTTTCGTGTTGCGGAACGCCGGGAACACCATTACACATGCCAAAGGCGGATGGGGGCCGTTTTGGGGGCCGTTTTTTGGGCGGCTGGTGGGTTTGGTTGTTGGGAGTTTGGAAAGGGAGTTTGGCCTTTTTGGATGACTTGTTGGTAGGGGGTCCGGAGTCGGGAACATTTGTCCATGTGCAAATCATGTACTGATACACTTCCATAGGTCCTTACCTTCGCCGTTCACATGTCCTGAAATCTTGGGCTTGCAGCCTAGCCACCTTTGAACCTTTGAGGCTTTGGATTGTGGGACACATTTGCTGGTGTTTTCAGCAGGGTTTACACCGTGCTTTACCCTCCCTGGAAGTCCATCATGGTTACGTGGATGGCATGGCCCCTGGAATGACCATAAAATCCGAATCCCAAACAGGGAGTGCCATGCACGTGACCATGATTGTTTCCGGGGGTGTAAAGCAGGTGTTTTCAATTAGCACGAGGTGCGCCACGCGAGCGACGGAGTAGTAGATGTGAGTAGACCGGCGCTTGTTCCCGAAGAAAGATCCTGGTGGGTCGTAGACCTGCTGCAGGGTTTCCAGCCGATGTTTAAGAGACCCAAGGATTGGGCGCTTGTTGGCAGAAGTGCCACTTTGGAAACAAGGAGTCACCAACAGGATCAAGCTGGAGTATACCAACAGAATCAAGCAGAATTCAGCAGAATCTGCAAAACAAACTTCACCCGGTCTTCTTGGGGAAAAGAGTGAGTTGGAAGCTGCTCGTCAGGCAGTGTCATGACGAGCCTGGAGTTCTGCACCTGCAAGCTGATGACGAGTCCGGGCTGATGTCGAGTTGATGTCAGGTTTGAATCCATCGATGAACTCCAAGATTCAAGTCAATTTGTTTGTTTTTCCTCATAGGATTCCTGGCCCCACCATATAATTGTAGTAGGCTTTTTCGCGAACAACCATTGGTTTTTACTTCAGGATTTTACACCACAAAGCCAGGTGATTTACATCTTTTTCGATCTTGGAAGGTCACAGGGCTTCGTCTAGGGTTTCCTAGAGAACCTCTGGAACGCCCCACAAAAAGGAACCTCTTCCTGTTTTTTTATTCACATCCATTTCAGGGTGTTGATCGAAAACTGCTTTGTTTTGCAGGCAGGTGTCTTCCGAGGAAGACACTTTCGTGTTTTCCGAAGTGGTGATGGCCTATTGGAAAGAGTTGTAGTTGGACAACGTTTAGGGTCTCCTTGAATGTGGGGAAGATCACCTCAAAAGTCATCCAGGCGGTGTTGATTGTCAACACAAGTAGTCTTGCAGGATTGGCAGCAGTCAAGCAGTAGCCAGGGTAGGTGCCTTAGCATTTGTCCTGTGCAGAGCACCGGAGCTACGGGAACCATCCTCTTCTATCGAGAATCGCAAAGGACAAACAACACCAAGAGTATTACGAACACGCTGTGAAGTTGCTGGCTCAAACAGCAACCCACAGCAGTAGACCACCCATGGAGCCCCCCGGTTCGCATAGAGTCAGAGGCACAGAGTCGAGCATTAAATCTAGAGCTTTCTTGCGACATGGCTTGGCATTGTTTTTTGTTTGACAAGTTGACTCGAGATCACTATGTAGTACTCAAAGATGTGTCATGGACATGCAAAGGGCTAAATTACCTCCGATGGGAAAGTGCATGTTGTGGAGTTCTTAAGGGTATAAGTCTTTGGACTTCAAGGTAAACATACATATGATTATATATATATATATACAAATGTGATATTATGATATTCTTCAACTTGTTCACCATTCCCTTTTTCGGAACTCCTGCAATGACTCTCCTTGCAGTCGGACTTGACGGGTGCGGTCGGAGGAGGGGCGCGGTTGTGCGGTTGGCATCTGGAATGGGAAAATCAATAGGACACGTGACCTGAGTCATAATATATAGTAGGGTACTTCAATACGTATTATTTGATATTGTCAGAGATATATGTTACAATACACATACGCAACAAATAGAGTTGGATAATATGGATTCAGAAACTATTGCTTTCCAGAGGTCCACAAGCCCATAAAACATATGGATTAATGTCCCCATATTTAAGCACAGAGTCAGTCCCCTTTTTCACCGTAGCATCGGGCTCAGAAAGGGAGTGAATGGGAGGGGGACCCAAAACCCCCCTCCCAACGTGTGAGCGCTGCCAACACTTTCTGGTAAGGGAAGCAGGTTTGACAATCTGCGAACCGTGCCGGCGAGGTTGGCAGCTGCAAGTTTCGCTTCGAAGCCTGGTCGCAGCGGATCGTGACGAGACCGCGGTGATCTTTCTCCAGCAGTGCCAGGCGCTTCTTGGAGAGTGGGCAGGGAAGGTCAAAGAGCTTGAGGAGAAGGAAGACAGTCCCAACCCACGTGCTTCGATCGGAGCCCGCTAAAGAGGAAAGAGGAGTCGCGAGAGAGAAAAGCCCAGCAGCCTGAAGATAAGCCTCACCGTGCAGCACCACCCCCGCCAAAGGCACCGCCCGGCCCGCCAGCATCCAGTGAAAAGGGAGGAGATCGAATAACCTCCCAAAGCCGAGCTGTCCCTCGACCCAGCCAACCACCAAGAGGGCTCTCAAGAGGCAGGTCACCCAGCAAGGGCCTCTACGCGAAGAAGAAGGCCGAACCCAAAGCATTGGTTGACGCCCCTGAGAAGGTCCAGCCAACCCCCCAGACAGTTGCCACCAGTCCGAAAAGGGAGGCTGCAGAGACTCCCAAAGCAAAAGAGGAAAAGAAGAAGAAAGAGAGGAGTCGTTCGTCGACGAGCAGTTCATCCAGAAGGAGAAAGAAGAAAGAAAAGAGGCGAAGAGAGAAAGAGAAGAAGGATAAGAAGAGGCGTAGGAGATCCACCAGCCCGGGGACTTCGGTATCCGGGTCTCGAGTGAGGGCCGCCAAGAGGAAGGAGCTCAAGAGGCTTCCCACGCCTCCCCGGCCGAAGAGCCCTCACACCCCTCCTGGCCCGCCTCCAGATCCTCCGCCTGCACCAGCCCGAGAAGCTAGTCGACCTCCCATTCCCAGGGGTCGCGGGCGCGGGTGGATCGGCCCAGTGCCGTGGAGTTCGCATCCCCGCTGGTATACGGGGAAAAACAAGGGCATCACCAGGAGGGCGAAACAGGAAAAGTTCAACAATAGGTGGTGGTGATGTCGGTGCGACGACGGCCAGCAGCTCGTGCACCGGCACTGAGGAGGAGGCCAGCAGCAGTTGACGTTGAGACAGCAAAGACAGACAAGTTTACCTACCTCCTGCAGCTCACGGCTGCACAACTACGTGGCTTGGGGCTAGTCGAACTGGCGTATGGGTACTACTATGATGGTTTGGTCAAGGTGGCCGGCTATGTCACAGGCTTGGGTCGTGATGCTGACTTCCTTGAATTCCGAGTGACAGGTACCCAGACGGAGCGGTTCGTCGATGTTGTGAGCGATCCAGACAAGCGGGTGTTTCAGCTGCATATATGCCCCAAGGACTGCCATCACACCCCTACGGGTCCGGATATCCTGCACGCTTCAGGGTACTGGGAGTTGGGAGACAACAGGCAGCCTTGGCACACTATGCTTGAATCTGTCGCCCCCGTGGTTGAGGAGCGTGACGAGATGGCCAAGCTCAGGGAACACTACGCCTCCCGTGCAAAGGTGGTTAAAGGGGAGAAGGCTTCTCCCAGTGCAGAGGAAGAGAAAGAAGGAAAGAAAAAGAAGAAGAAAAAGAAGTTGAAGGAGAAGGAAAAGAGGGATGCAAAGGACAAGATGGACGGAGGTGGCAGTGATGAGGATGCTCCAGTTGAGAAGGGGCAGAAGAGCCTCAAGAGCTTGTTTGGGGGTACATGCTTGGACCCCCAGTTCGATGACCGATCCAAGCTCCTTCGCAAGGCCCGGAAGTTGGGAAAGAAGGAGGGCAAGAAGAGGAAGCGTTCCTCGAGTGAATCCAGTTCGTCGGGGAGTTCAACTTCAGAGGAGGAGGACCCGCTAGAGACTGGAGAAGGGCTGTTTGCAGAGAAGAAGCGTGCCCTCCGGTTGACCCAACGATACCCGGGCTGCTTGGGTGCGCAAACTATTGCAGGGATGAAGGACCTGCTTTTGACAAGTAGCGGAACCTTGCACTCCATCGATCGTCGTTCACTCCCTCCGCTATATACGCAGTACTACAGGGCCGAGCTGCATGCGTTGGTGTCGCCGTCAATGGGTCAAGAGCTCCTGACATCAGCCAGACGGCTGACCTACTCTTGCGGGGACATCCTGCACGGGCCATTGACCTGTTATCTCAAAGGTTCAAAGCCCTCGAACAACAGGCCAGAGGAGCTCATTGGACGGTTGCAAGACAGCTGGAGTTGGTGTCAGCTGACGCGGTTGGCCTCTCGCAAGGTGCTGAAGGAGCTGAAGCAGCTCGCCTGGCGCGAGAAGAGGCGCGCAATCGAACAGCAGTGCAGCGGCCCTACAACATGGTTGGCAAGGAGGGGGGAAAGGCAAAAGGCAGATCTGATCCACCTGAGGGACGTGAAAAGGGAGACAAAGGAGGCAAGGGGAAAGGAAAGGGGAAGAAGAAGGATAAACAATGACGAGCCCCATAGATGAGAAAGAAGTCCCCAGGTGGAAAGAAGATCAGATGGAAAGGAGGTTGGCAGAAAGAGAGGATGAGAGTGCATTGGTGGTTGGGAGATCATTGACAGAGGCTGAGGATGGATGCATTGACAGGTTGTTGCAGGAGAGTGAGGCAAGAGGCTTGGCAGAGAGGGCGCAAAGGGCAAAAAGACGTTGTATGGTTGAGAGGTTGGGGCACCCGTCGTGTCCCGGCAGGATGGAGAGTGCCTCCTGGACAGGCGTGTCGGGCATAGGAGCCGAGATGGCAGAGCTGGACATGACTGAACGGGAGCCGGATTTTTCCAAGTCGCTTGAGGTTGGCTCCCAGTGCAATGGTCGAGTTGAAGCGCATTGGAAGTCTACTATGCCGCAAGCTGGCATGCATGTTGAAAGGGAGATGGACACCAGTCGTGCCTCCCAGTGTGACCCAGATGAGATGGAGCAGCAACTTGTTGATGCCGCCCGTTGCGAGGTCAGCTATGACACCAAGGACGACAAACAGCTGGGCTGGCGACTGGCCTTGAGCCGTGCCGTGCAGCGCTAGAAGCGTGTTGTCGAAAAAAGGAGATTGGCTTCGTTGAGTTGGGTCCAGTGTTGTCTCGAGCATTGGCAGTGGTTGAAACTAGACTAGAGCGTTGCAGCCAGCCCAAGGGGGACCTGTTCCCCTTGCCGCTTGCTAGTGACTTGGGACTACAGGGCCAGAGATTGCAGAACTCAGATGCGTTGATTCGTGCATTGAATTTGTTGTATGGAACCAAAACCAGAACACGTGCTAAAGAGGAGGGTATTCGAAGGACATTGTCAGACAGGTTGAACCAGGTGGTGTTGACTTCAAATCTGTTGGAGGAGAAATTGCCCCAATTGGACTTTCATCGGCTTTTCCAATCCAAGACGGTAGATCATTCCGGTGAAGAGGTTCAGGTGGCCCGGTCCTTTCAGTGGAAGATGATCGAGGCAGCAATGCCCCAAGCAGTAGGATCACTAGAGTTGGAGAATTTCTGTGATGGGGGGACTCTCAACTACGTGAGGGAGTTCGAAAACTTTTTGATGCCGCCTCAGGACCAGCACCTGGGACGCACCCCGACCGTCATGGTGGAGCAGCGCCACTGGGCCGAGGTCTGCTCGGGTTTGTTGAGCCAAGGGGTGTGCAGGGTGATGCATGTTTCGGAACTACATCATGTGAATGGACGCCCTTTGCTAAACGGACTTTTTGCCGTAAGCAAGCAAGAGACAGCAGTAGGTTCAGATGGCCATTCGTTTGAGGTTTGTCGACTGATTATGAATTTGGTACCTACCAACAGTTGTTGTAGAAGCTTGGTTGGCGACACCTCCACGCTCCCGAGTGTTGTGGGCATGTCGGCGGTGGTCCTAGAGGATAGCCAGCTTCTAATAACCTCATCTGAAGATATACGTTGCTTCTTCTACTTGTTCCGAACTCCTATCTCTTGGTGGAAGTACATGGGGTTTGCAAGGGAGGTGCCACCAGAAGCACTCCCAGCGTCCTGCAGTGGAACAGGGTGGCACCTGGTTACCCAGGTCCTGCCTATGGGGTTCATCAACTCGGTAGCAATCGCTCAGCATGTGCACCGGAGGGTCATTAGCTTGGCTCTGAGAGGTGAGAAGGCATTGGCGTCGGGACACCAGGAGCTCCGTAGGGACAGAGGTTTTTCAGCGGCTGATCACTTGTATCGGGTGTACTTGGACAACTATGATGAGTTGCGTAAGGTTGACCGTAGGCTAGCTGAGACTCTGGCTGGCACACCCTCTGCGTGGACCCTGGCGGTGCGGCAAACCTATGAGGATTTAGGTCTACCAAGGCACCCAAAGAAGGCGGTCACTCAAGAGGTCAAGGCAGAGGTTCAGGGAGCTTGGCTTGATGGTGAGGCAGGCACCGCGTCACCCAAGAGTTCGAAGGTAGTCAAGTACGTGAGGTTGGCGTGTGAGCTGCTGATTCGGGGGTGCGCGTCACAGAAGGAGCTGCAAATTGTCGGAGGTGGTTTTGTGTACATTGCTATGTTCCGACGACCTCTTCTCGCTGGGTTGAATGCTCTGTGGAGGCGTATCATAGATTTGGGAAGCCACAGTAGGAGGCGTGAAGCTCTGCATGAACATGTGGCCTTGGAGTTGCTAAGGTTCATTGCAATGACCCCCCTAGCTTTCATGGACTTTCGCACCAAGATCTCAGAGTGTGTCACGGCCAGTGATGCGTCGACCAGTGGAGGAGGCTTGTGTGCAAGTAAGGGGTTGTCACCCGATGGGGCAGCAGCAGCCCAGGCGCAGACGAGGGGAGACATCCTCTCCCAGGATGATGTTGAACCCATTTTGGTGGTGTCGTTGTTTGATGGCATTGGTGCCTTGCGTGTGGCTGTTGATGCTCTCCGCGTCCCCGTGGCCGGCTATGTCTCGGCTGAGATCTCGGAAGACGCTCGAAGAGTTGTTGAGAGTTGGTTCCCGGAGGTCAAGCACATCGTGGACGTCAAGGACATTGACGAGAACAAGGTCAGCAGTTGGAGCCTCCTGTACCCCGGGGTGAGCGCTGCGACTGCGAGGTTATGAATGAGGCATATGAAGGTCGTCCGTGGCTAGTAGACGCCGGTGGCATCAGTTTAGCCCGCAGGCCTAGGCTGTACTGGTTTAACTGGGAGCCACTGGAATGTAAGGGTGCCCGCAAGGTTGTTGATGAGCGTCAGCGCTTGCCCTTGGCAGGTAGGTTGCAGTTGCAGGCAGAGGTAGAGGAGAAGGATTTCCTGGAGCCAGGTTGGCGCAGAGTTGAGGCTACACAGGTTTTTCCCACCTTTACCACCGCTCGACCATCTGTCAGGCCCGGCCGCAAGCCCGCGGGACTGGAGTTGTGCACAGCAGAAGATCTGACCCGTTGGAAGGAAGATGATCATCGCTTCCCACCGTACCAATACAAAGCAGTCAATTGTGTTACGAATGGGATTGAAAAGCGTGTTCCCAATGTTCGAGAACGTGAATGCATCCTTGGCTTCCCCCTGGATTATACGGCGAAATGCTATCCTAAAGGGCAGCAAGGCACGACCGCCTGGAATGACTGCCGCTTGACACTCCTAGGTAATACATGGTCGGTTCCGGTGGTCTGCTACCTTCTTCATTCTCTCTTTTGCATGTTGGGCTTCGTTGAACCGTTGGACGTGCAGGAGCTCGTGAGAAGGTTGACTCCAGGGGAGGATGATCACCTCCCAAGTCTTCTGTTGCGACCACCGTTGCGGCGGACAACCCAGGCAGGAGCTTCAGGTCTAGGGCTTGTGCGTAAGCTTCTTGGACAAATTTCAGTCAAAGGCGAAGATCTGTTGCTTCAGATGGGGACGGACATCCCACCTCACTACCACCGACTACGCGCTTCTATCCCAGGCAAACTATGGCGTTGGCGTGAGGTCGCAGGCTGGCGCTGGACTGGGGAACCAGAACACATCAATGTACTTGAGCTTCGAGCTGTCAAGACGTCAGTAGCTTGGCGTATCAGGGAGTTGAAGGAACAGCGATCTCGCTTTGTGCACCTCGTCGATTCATTGGTTGTACTACATGCCCTTTCACGTGGGAGATCCAGCTCACGGAAGCTTAGGAAAACCCTTGCCAAGATATCCGCTATGCTGTTGGCCAGTGGCCTTCAAGCCACCTGGGGGTACATCGATACCCATCAGAATCCGGCGGACAAGCCGTCCCGCCGGCCGCTGCATCGAAAATGGGTAAGAAAGCGCCCAAAGTAGTGGAAGGTCGCAGTCAACAGCAGCGGAAGGCCGTACGGCAAAAGCTTGGCAAGTTGAAGGATTTGACAGTACAACCACGTACAAGGCAGAGATATGAAGCGAGTCTCCAACAGTTCTTCTCCTGGCTGGAAAGGGAGGGACTTGTACTCCCAAAGCGTGTTGCACAAATGGACAATTTGGTTAGTGACTACCTTGAATACTTGTGGGCTGATGGACATGGCAAATCTGAGGCAAACAATGCTCTGGCAGCACTTCAGGACTTTGACCCGAATTTGCGCCGAAAACTCCCCGGAAGTTGGCGCTTGCTCAAAGCTTGGTCAACAGCGGAGATCCCGGTCAGGGCTCCTCCAATGACGATTGGATTGCTGGACGCTCTTTGCGGATGGGCTGTGATGCAGGGCCTTCCTGACTTCGCTTTGTCTCTCAGAGTTGCGTTTTTCGGCCTGTTGAGGACCGGTGAACTTTTAAGCTTGACCTCGAAAGATGTTTACATCTCCGGGCCCAAGGGGCCAGCGGTCATCTCGCTAGGCTTAACTAAGTCAGGGGCCCGCCAGGGGGCTAGTGAGAGCGTCACGATAGTGGACACATCCGTGCTGCCATCGTTGTATAGTTGGAAGCGCCGGAACTCGGCCAACTCATACTTGACCTCGAAACCCCATGCTTGGCGCAAGACTTTTAATCAAGCCATTGCCGGACTTCAGTTGACCGCATTGGGCCTGCGTCCGTATTCATTACGGCGCGGAGGCGCCACTTTTTTCTTCCAACACCACGGAAGTTTCGATAAGCTGCTGCTCCAAGGGCGGTGGGCAGCAGCGAAAACCGCCCGAATATACCTGAACGAGGGGTTAGCACAGTTGTCTGAAATGCAGGTTCCTAATTCGCGTTTGCGGACTTATGCATGTTTTTACCTCCAGAACCCGATCCTTGAGCCTGGGCCCCGGAAGGCGCCCAGGTCAGGGGGACGTGGAAGAGCTAGTAAAAGAGTCTTTTTTCTGCACGAATGGGGTAGTGGGAATGTACCCCAGAAAGAGACTTCCTGATGGGGAGAAGAAACAGGAAGTGCTTCCTCTTAAGTGTTCGGGCCCAGGGGGCTCCGGTATGGCGGATGCAGCCCTGGGGGGCACCGGGGGGCACTCACCTTTCTCTGGTCTGGCGGGAAAGGTTGAGTGTCGGGGCCCCGAAGAGGTGAATTTGTGTTTCTATGCACCGATGGTGCTCTGTTCTTGGACAAACCTGCTGCAACGCGTGAAAAAATGACCGACGGCTGTGCTTATATATATATATATTTTATAGATCACATAGATCCCACACATATATATATACACATCATTTCACATATATATTTACATATATATATATATAGACATAGAGACATATTTGATATGTTGCGGTTTTTCAATAGGGAGAGCCCCCCGAAATCTCGCCCAGGGGGTCGGTATGTCCACACACCCTGGGACTAACATGGTTACGTGGATGGCACCAGCTGTTTGTGGAAAATGGTCTTCCTTTCGGGGCCATGCCATCCACTTCCTTGTGATGTGTTCCCTCCTAATACCAAACTTTGGGAAGTGAACTGCCCAGAAGTCAGGAAAAGAGTGAGATGCGAACTATGGTACAAGTGACCATATAGCCTGCACGTGCTGAAATTCACCAAAATGATCCGGTTCCTTTCCAAGGGGTATAGAATTATGTAAATTCACTCACAGCTCAACATTTAGATTTCCCGAAAGCTTCTTGGGTTTCGCCCACTTTCCTTCCCAACCAGGGCACTTTAGTACTTCTGAGATTCCAAGCTAAGCCTCATCAGCTTCCTTCCGTGCTACCTTAGGAAGCTGGTTTTAGTCCTGGGCCACACCGATTGCATGGCCTTGTCGAGTGCGATGTGCGGCGAGAGTTCGGAGGGGAAGGAGCGCGGTGAGCGAGTCGGCTTCTGACGTCGTGAGTCAGCGTGTCGCTTCGGCGACCGGACGGTCGGCTTGGACGGTCGGTTTTTGTGAGTCGCTTCGGCGACCGGACGGTGAGTGAGCCTTCACCCGCCAAGTCACTGGGGTTTTGGGCGTTGTCCGCTTCTAACCGCTGGAAGGCATCAGAGGCATGCAGCGAACGCAGCTAGCACGCAGATGCGAACGCAGGAAATGAAAGGCCACAACAATGTTCAAGGCCACATAGGTGACATAGGAGCCGAACAAACAGCGATGAACAACGCCCAATGTGTGAGTGGCACGATGATATGTGACTCGGCTCCCCCTTTCTTCTATTTGCTGATATGGATCTTGGGTATGGCTCCCACAGAGTCCAGCGAATTCGGTCAAGAAGTCCAACCCTTGCATGACAGAGCCATGGAGTTGCATGACAGAGCCTTAGAGTTGGCCAGTAAACATGCTCTCACTGGTAGGGGGTGAAGTGAAACAAGAATAGAAGGAGCTACAGGGTGGGTGGATTTCGGGACATCTTGGGTCCCAGAAAGCCACACACACATAGCTGAGGAGTTCCAGGACTCTTAGTCCTAAGTGAGTTGAAGATGTGTTCTGGGCACCTCTGGGATTGAAGAAAACACTTCCTGCTGGTTTCCATCTACGCCGCCTCTCCGCCTCTGCTCCTTTGCCTCTCAACCAACGCGAACGGAGAACGTTCTCCGACGAACGGCTCGAGCCGCGTCGGTCGAAACGTCGAGGCCTCCGAGGCGCTGCTCAAGGGGATCCGGTCCTGCGGTTGCTCCCGAACGGAGGCGCCCGAACTTCCAAAGGGCTGCCGCGCGAAGCCGCGTAGCTTCCACCGTCGCAGACGAAGGTCACCCAGACGACGAAGTCCACACGTCGAAGTCCACACGGTCCGGGTGGAAGACACGTTTTTCTGGGGACGGGTTCAAACCGGGAGGACACCAAGAGGTCAGTAGAGCCGCGTTCTTTTTTGGGGGATGAGGTAGTAGTTGTGCTGGTGCAGTTGTGGGTGTAGCAGACGGGTTCGGTTTGAAGAAGTTGATGTTGTGGGATGTTGCGGAGTTTGTTGGACTTACACGAAAACGAAAACGATCGAACCTCGTTCACCTCTGTTTGACAAAGTTTCGCCTTTTCGATGACTCAGTTTACACCTGTTCGCCAAACGAGAAGGCGCAGATGAATCCCTGAGCTCCAGTCGTCGGAGCTCCTAGTCAGGTGCAGGAGGTTGTCTTAAACATCACAGAAACCATCTCATGCTCCGTTTTGTTCCAGTCGCAGGGTGTCTTTCAGATATGTTATGTTTGTAGTGTACCTTCAAGTGACTCTGGGTGGGCAAATACCCACCCTCCTCACCGTCTCTGCCGGCCGAACCATCCGACCCGGGGCTTCCGCTGGAAGCCGCGAAAAGGGTCGGCTTGGTCGGCTTGGAGAAAAGGCAGAACAACTGTTTTTACTGGGTGCTATTGATCATGAGACCAAATTCTTAAAACGCTGAGGAATCGCCACTCCCTGGAACTCACATGGTTACGTGGAGCTCACATGCTTCGGATTTTGGAAGACAAATCCGAATACCAAACAGGTGGTGCCATCCACGTAGCCATGTGAGTTCCAAGGAGTGTAGGTTTCACTTGCCCCAGTCACAACTTGCCGACAGGTCTCGGGGACCGGAAATGTAACTACCAAAAACTGGTACCCTCTCTCAATGAAGGATGCAGAATGACCCTGTTGTAGAGGAACACATGCTTTCAGGCTCCAATAATTCATGTTCACGGCAATGGCAGGAAGCTCGAAGGAATACTTCAGCAGTTTTCTATCAATTCATTATGTTCCTAGAACCTGAGCGACCTCCATTTTGGACCACCAACCACAACCACCCCACATATGGCCAAACGTCCTTCCTCTCAAAACAGAGGTCATTTTTGGGTTTCATCGATTCCATCTTTTAGCTGTTTTCCAGAACAGCTCTTTTCAGCGACACTTCGGTTGGAGATGGGGACGTCTTTCTCATCCTGCTTTGGCTTATATAAATATATATGTGTGTGTCAGGTGATGTCTGATTTTCCCTAAGGAATCCCCAGGCTTCTGGGCCATATGTCTGGTTTTGGTTGGCCCGGAAGCACCGGTTCCGCACCCATGGGACTCCATGGGACTCACCCCTCCCCCACTGGGCCGCTGCGCAGCGATCGTCGCTTGCTGCGATGGAGGAGCTGACGATGGAGGAGGCGGTGGAGGCCAATGTCCGTCACACCATCGATTGTCTCTTGAAATACAGCAGTGGTATTCAGGAGAAGGCGCGGGAGGCTTCTGGGAGGCTTCCTTCTGCTTCGGGAGGCTTTGAGAGCTTTTGGACTGCACTGCTGGCATCCAGTGATGTACTTCTGGGATTGGAGTCTGATGGGATGTTTTGGAACGAAGTGTCTGTAGGATGAACCTCCATGACACTTAGCCGCTGGTCCCCAAGCAGCGCCAGGGTAAGCTGAATTCGCGAGGAATTCGCACGAATCAGAAGACTTTCTCGCCATCAAGATGAGTGGTCTACTCCAGATTGCCCTCCTCTAATGTCCATCAGTTGTCCTCGACCGCCTACAGCTGTGGGAAGTCTACTCACCAAACGAAGCAACGTTTACTCGCCCTTCCGACCATGGTTTTCATGACAGCTCCTGCCGTTGAGGCCCGAATTGAGTGGTGCATGTTGTTTTCTTCACCTCAGGACCGAGACCCGTCCTCCGTGGTTCAGGGTAATGCTCGTGGGTCGGGCTACCGCTCTGTAAGCGTCCGGGTAGCCTCTACACACCGAGGGTGCCGTCGCCATCGCTGGCGGTTCCATGTCTGCCGTTTCATCTAACTCGCCCAGTTAGGCAGACTAAGACCGTGTCTTCCTCTAACTGCCCAACCAATACCTTCTTGCAGTCGATTTCAGCTGCCCGGCTCGTTCATGAGCGACCGGGATTTCAACCCGACCGTGCTTCGAACCCGACCGGGTTCGTTTTCCATTCGTGGCCACGGCTTGGCGGATCGACCAGATCGCACGTCCCCCGTTTTGTGAGTGTCGGTCGTTGAAGACCCCAACCCCGCGGGCCTGAGGTGGTTGTCTCTCCCTAAGGCCGCCTTCAACTGAGATATCCTAGGGATCCAAGTACCCCTTTCCAGGTGAGGAAGGAGACGAGAAGGCATGGCAGACATGGTGTCCAGTCGCTACGCGAAGCTGAGGTTCGGTACGACTGATCCGTAGGGATCTGCCACTGCCCTTTCAAGATCCGCCAGGTAGAGAATGGCCAGTTGGAAATCCATGGCGCGATCTACGATGGAGCCAGCGGCCATGTCCGGTTTCTTTGCGAGGAGCACGGGGACGGACATGGGCCGGGACGCAGGGTGCGGCAAAAAAGGGTGGGGAGAGGAGGGCAAGCAGAAGCAAACTAGAGAAATTGCTACTTGCAAGTCCAATGACTTTTCTATCAGATGGTGTGGCCACTGACCACTTCAAGGTACCACTTCAAGGAAAAGGAGGGGACTTATGAGCTTTTGTAGCCTCTCATTCATGATATATCAATATGGCACCTCCCTTGAAGTCCACCTTTGATGCTCTTCCAAAGACACATACTTACACATACTTACACACAATCAGGCTTGGGATGTCCAAGTTTGAACAGCTGTCAGACTTGGGATGCAAGAGTCCTGTGAAATCTGGATTGAAGATTTCTGCCCAAGAGTCCTGTGAAATCTTCAATCTTCATTCAATCCATGGACCCAATAGTCTTGTGAAGTCTGGAACTGGGAAGAGTGATGTCACACAATGAATGACACTGAATCTCAAGTATGAACATGGGATCTGCATGCGGAATTCCACCACTGTTGTTTGCACCTAGACCAGAAACAGAGTCAATGAGATTTGACAAAGGCAACTCATGAAAGCATGTCTCGCTTCCACATGCTTTTTTGTGCATGTGCATGCGGCAATGCGTTCCATGTGTGTATGGCCGCAGCAACCTTTTGCTGTGACCACTGAGTTTTTATAGTATATACCTTTACATACTATATAAAAGGTAGAAGTATATATAGTATATACCTCGTTCTACATACTGGTTCTTCAGTTCCAGAACTCGGCTTCTAGAACTTGGGATCTCGGCTTTTCCTGTGTTGGAATCCAACGACCATCCCAGTTTTTCCGAGGCGGGACCCCCCCTTGGTGCGTTTTCATATGGGTTTCCCTTGACGGGTGCCCGTCTCTGAGCGACATGTTCCGAGCTTCTTCTTTCTGTGCGCATGCGGATGCTAGATCTCATGCAGATCTGGGTTTCAGCTTTGTAGACTCAGAAGGTTTCATGGTCGAGCTACCATGTGGTCACAAAACGCTATCCTGGTATCCTAAGTTTGTGCTCTGCTGCAGACTCAATTTCAACTCACGGCTTCAGAGGTTCTACACTCCATGGACATGGGGTTTGATGAAAAACAAAAGTTCCACATATTATATCCTTGGTCGAGTTCCCCTGCAGCCTTTGGACATGATCCTGTGGGACTCACAGGGTCTACATTACTCTCTCCAAATCCCAGAAGGTTTCATTCATCCTTTTTCCCCAGGGTTGGACCTGTTGGAAGACCTCGTTTCCGTTTTGGGTAGTTTCCCTTTGGTTTGGGGCATCTGCTACTTCGTGGTTCCCTCTCATTCTCCCGTTCTCTTCGGCTCTCCAGAACACACTGATGGGCGCTTAACAAGTGCTTAGTTCCGTTTGCCTGTTGCTCGCTTGCTGAGTGTTGAAGCCGGGGCAAGTGGCCCCTGGCGTTTCCGCGACGTGTGAAGTTACGGCACCAACAATTAGCACCCAATTTTTTTGCAGGTGCTCCTCACACCGGAACCAGCGAGCTATACACACTTAATCGCTGTGGTGGCCCAAAACTCACCTCGTAAAAAACGACTCCTCGTTGAGCACCTGCACGGCATGGTGCCATCAGGTGAGCTCATCAGGCCGTAAGACAAACAGCATCTGTTTTGGCCTACCTACCGCTACACCTACCGCGTTCGGTTCTTGGAACTCCCAGGCCACCAAGTTGGGGTGTTGAATGGGCTGGTCGAACACACCATGTGAAGACCTGTGAAAACTCACATGTCTGAAACACCGACTCACATGTCTATCCACGAATTCTGACCAATGGGAACCCCCTTTCACCTGGTTGTTTCGACATGATGGTACGCATCAGCAACCTCTACTCCGGCTCGAGCGAGTCGGAGGTCCCCCCCCCGAGCCCACGGCCTCGGGGTCCACAGCAAGCACCAGGGATTCGGGCCCGCTGTTCCAAAGCTCACGTGTACAACACCACGAGCGACATCAAACTCATCCCCAGCCTCCTGTTCGACCAAAAACGCTTAGTAAAGCTATATGGTTGTTCCGCATGGTTCACCATTCAAGAGCTGCGGGTCCACGAATTGGAAGAAGTACGATTGACAAGTTCAAGACAATTGCCAGCATAGTTCCCTGGCCCATGGCAGTCAACCCAGAGAATCCTTTAGGAGTGGCCACTCAATCCATGGTGGCCAGGACTTCTGTAGGGCAAGCAAATGCGTTCATACTGTGTGCCACATCGGTGTGAGGAGGATAATTCTGCCCATGCGGCCTGTGGTTGATCCCAGGCGGCATAGGTGTTTGAAGCCGGCTGGTCGGAGGGGCTGACACTGAACAAGAGGCGAGGGTAAAATGACACCGTACCCAGGACCAGTGGACAACCTACAAAACGCGGAGAAATTTGGGGAGTGTCCCACTAAACAAGAACAGGTGGATAGTTTGCTTGGCCCTTTATTTTGAGGGTACACTAGTAGGCACGTCCGCGACAAGTGACCAGGGCTCGTTGGGGAAACTGAAATTCTCCCAGAGAATCATGACACATAAAAGAGAATCCGTCTCGTGGAAATCATCCCTGGAGCCCTTTTGGAGGTGTTGAGAGACCAGGGGCTGTTGGGGGGCCTATGCTGGTAGAAGTTTTGGGGAAGTGGGGCCCTGTTTGGAGTAGCAAACCTCTCCTCGATCCGGACCTTGGCATTGTGGCATCGAATTTTTTTCCATGCGAAAGGAAGGGTGTGTTTCACCACCAAAACGGCAGGATCCCTGAGAGGAACTATCATGGAAAGGGGTTCCAGGGGCTAAAACTTCTCCTGACCATCCCGAGATTCGGTCTTTGGTATGGCAAGCCGTGTGACCAGTTGACACAGCTGAAAGGGCAGTCGTTTCAATTGATTTGGACGCACAGAGGGCTGCAGATGGCAACCCTGTGGCATTTGCTGCCAAGGAGAAACTCTTCGTGCTGGCAAACGCAGACGAAGATGTAACAGGCTGTGGAGAAGAATCATGACATGACCTCAGTAGATGGCATGAAGGAGCGCCCAGTTTTCATCGTTATCAGCAGCAGATCTGCAGCTCCGTGAGCCGACCGACGACCTACACCTTGGACCGCCGACTCGGCCACCCACCAAGACGGAGTCCGGAGTCGACGGAGACCTGGAACTCGGTTTCACAGCCGGGTTCCCGATGTAGAGGCCGAAAAAGGAGGCCAGCATGTAGAGAATGTTCTGGAACAGCGGATTTTTAAGTAGGAAGGAAGTTGAACATACGACGGTGGCACCATGGAAGCAGGAACTTTTTAATTCAACCCTCCAATTTAGATTTCAACAGAAACTGGACATCTCTTGACCGTCGAAGGGACACCGAATTCCGTTTCGGAATCGCCTCTCTACTGAAGGCAGAAGAAGCCAATTAGGACCATCGCGTGATCTCCTACTGTGCACACACTTTACATGATAAACCTTACCCTACAAGTCCAAGGACCCAGTAAAACCAGGTAAAACCTGGTCTTTTACCTCCTTGGGTCGTTTTCCTTGTATGACCACGTCCAGTATTTCATGAGGTCTACCTGACCTGTAGGGTTAGTTTACTGGACCCCCCAAATGAACAGAATTTCCACACCTGTCTTCTCCATTGGCGTGCAGCGCTCGTCCCAAAGAGCCAGCGCAAGCGACTCGCGACTCGATTGGCTGAACAGAGAATGGAGTCGACTCAGAAACAATCATATACAGTACCAAAGCCTTCCAAGTTCGGTGCTTTTTGGACTCCCTGAGTCACCTCTCACGAGGCGATTGATATAGAAACATAGAGCCGGTCCTGGTAGAAGTGGAACAGTTCGGCCCCTGTAAGACCATTTCCTCCACAAGGGGTGCGGAAGTCAGCTTCGATGATTATTGGAGGGAGGGTATGTGCCCTTTCTGTCCAAAGATCGCCTCTAGTAGCGACCATCCAAAGATATTGCATCATTTTGAGATTGCAGATTTCATTGTCTACTTAAGCCTTGTGTTGGGTCACTGCCTGGGACCCTCAAATTAGGTCACTTTGAAGAAGCTGGTCATTCGCCGAGAATGAATCCAAAACACTTCGAGAAGAAGAGGATTCGGTGAGTGAAATTTTCACTGCTTCATCTTTGAGCAGCAATGTATTAATATAGAGTAATATAATATGCAATATTAACATATACTATATCAAATTACTTTACTTCGAGTGACCCCCATCATGACATTTCAATCATTTGTTTTCATGCCATGGTGAGGAGCATGTCGCCATGGTCGTGAATTTTGTGGTTTTCGATTTTGCTTGTGGGTCCTCGGGTTTGGGATTGCTATTCTATTTTATGTTTTTTTTAATGTTAGGGAGATTCGCGTCGGGGTGTCGCCAGGGTCTCCAGTTGGCATCCAAAAGTGCTACCCCGTGACTACCTGCCACGCAAAGTGCCACACACACACAGGTAGTTATATTGTTGTAGTTGTCTGTTTGTGCCGTTGTGCTTGTGGTTTCTGTGTCTGTGGTTGTGTTTGCGGTTGCGTGTTTGTGATTGTGTGTCTGTGGTTGTGTGGCTGTGGCGGTTTTTGTGATTGTGTGTTTGTGGCTGTGTGTTCGTGATTGTGGTTGTGTGATTGTATGTTTGTGGCTTGTGTGTGTCTGTGGTTGTGCATTGTGATTGTGTTTTGTTGGCTGTGTACTGTGTATTGTGTGTCTGTGGTTGTGTGTTGTGTGTTGTGTGTTGAGGACCTGTAGTGCCCACTGCAATCTGGCACTTGCTGTTGAGGTCCGGCAGTGTGCCCGCTGCGATATGGCGCTTGCGGTTGAGGTCCGGTAGTGCCCACTGCAATCCGGAGCTGGTGTTTGAGGCCTGGCGGGGAACACTGCCAAGTTCCGTGGTTGAGGTCCGGCGGGGAAAAGTGCCATCCGGAGCTGGCGGTTGAGGACAAGGCGGAGGCGAAGCCGGAGGAGAAAGAGGAAGGCAGCCGACATAAAATCTAACAATCCTCACCTGACAGGTGGGGAACTATATCTCTTTTCGGGGACCGGTGGGGAACTGTATCTCTTTTCGGGGTGCTTGTTGGATTCGTCCTCCACTGCAAGAGAGAGCAGGGGCATGCAGGGGCCGTACTCTCCCGGAGTAACTCATATGGTTGACTAGACCTGTGGGCCCAATGGGAAAGATGAGAGCATTTCCTTATTGGAGGGGTTTACGCTACGTCCTTCTTCACCATGCAACTCTCAAGCCTGCACGTGAATCACGCGGACCCTTTGCGTGGTCGGAGTTCGCTGGAGCTTTGGGGCACACCCCAGTTGCTCGGTCTACTGAGTTCTTGTGGAGACTAGAGTCCCTCCAATGCTGCACTAAGAATTGCGAAGCTGGCTTCACCGAACCGGTCGAACCGGCTTGAGTGATGACTCGATGACAAACGTCGTGGAACGTCGGGTGTAGTGGACCCATTGACCAAAGGGGGTGAAGTTGGAGGCGATGACGAGCCACACTGAACCACTTCGAGCTTTGAGGATCTCTCAGTTTGGACATATTTTAGGCTTGAAAGGTGCAGTTTGACACAGGCACTGAGGTCGCGAGGCAAATCAATCGAATTAAGAAACAAATTGGATTCTCGCCGATTCGACCGGTTCTTGCCTCAGTGAATCCAGTCTTTTCGCGAAAGCAGCAAGACCTACAAAACACCGCCAGATCTTTAGCCAGAAAAAAACGCCAGATCTTGTGTCACAAAGTCGGCTGTAGTAAGGGAGAAAACTCTATTTTGGAATTATTTGGATGGTTTCGGACATTTCCGGGTGGACTCGATGATTTGGTCTCGGATGATCCAGTTTCCAAAGGCTTGGAGACCTTCGAAAATGGTGGACTCCCAGAAGGGTAGAGGTCTTTAGAGGAGGCAAGTCCTTGGTGAATGGGCACGCATCCTGGCCCTGGCTGGGTAGACTGGTATGTTTTTCGACCAAACCGCAGGGGTCATAGCTGGGGCTCCACACAGCCATGAAGGCTTTCGAACAGACGATCACGCGGTGATGGGTCCCAACTATGTTCGCTCGCCCGCCCGACTGGTCGTCCACCACGTAGCGAACGGACAGTTTAGGACCAGGTGACCATAGGTGAGCAGGTGTCGGAAGTCATGGTCGGTGGCGCTCTCTCCTTGCCCGGATCCAGTCTTACCTGGACTCTGAGGCGAATGACTGGACCCCCCAAACCTGTCCAAAGCTACGGCCTTGGAATCCAGTAACCTCCTGACCTCGGTACTCCAAACCTGGCCTCAAACCGGGCCTGTCTCGGCCTCGCCTTCGGTACGGTATGACAGTGGATTCCACAGACACGACACAGGGGACTGGTGTTTCTTAGTGGCCCCATTGACCCGACTTCAACCACCC